AAAAAAAAAAAAAAAAAAACCACCCCTCCCCGCCTTCCTTCCCCCCCCCCCCCCAAAAACAAAAGAACTCCACACGCTCTCGGAAAATCAGCCCAAAGTATTTTCAAGTGTTTCAACTTCAAGATTATCATCCACGGTCGGAAAGGAATGATTTACGTATACATTAAAAGCGGTCCAAACGATACCTCTGCAAACACAGCGCCCTGGGAAACATTGGCGATATTCGCATAGCAGCTTTTGCTCTGAGCCCGGGAAAAGGGAACGGCCATCACCTGCCCTAACGCAAAGCCCTTTCCCAAATCAGTGGCCGAGCCACGAAGAATACACCTTTCCTGTCATTTTTGGACTGAAGCGATTTATTAAAGCTCAATTGAGATACAGGGATGATGCAACTCAAAAATCCAAGATGACCTTTCAGAAACCTCAGCAGCTCGGGTACAGCAACAGTTCCGGTTATACGGTGTTGGCAAATAAACGCTTTCAACACTTGGCACACAGTTTTAAGTTCATCCATAAACAGAATTTTAGAAGCATTATAAAGTAACCGCACAGAAGACCCCTGACCTTAACACATGAGAACTACCGGCGGGGCGGGAGGATCACCCAAAGAAGAACAAATAAATACGTCCCGTCTGTACAGCGCTGCGGGTGGGGGAGGACGAGGTGCACACAGATCCCTCGTTCAGAAACGCGGTGCTTTCAGCCATACACGGAGGAGGGGTTCGGATCGGGGAGTTTTTTTTTTTTTTTTTTTTTGCCTTTTTTTTTTTTTTTTTTTTTAAAAATCTCTCTTTTTTTTTTTTTCCTATTTTTTTTTAAATCACTCTCACCAAAACTTTGCGCGTTTGCACGGGATCAAAGTTTCGAGACGCTAAAAAATACAAAGTCTTCCATAAGCAATGCTCCAGTCTCTTTGTTTCTGCGAGTCGCTTAAATAAGAAGTTTACATTTCAAGTTTGTTTGTTTCCTGGCTCAGAAGAATAATAATACTGCTAGTAATTAAAAAAAAAAGAAAAAAAGAAAAAAAAAAAAAAAAACCTACGTTCGCGTGCCCTCTCTGATTTGTCCCATCCACCTCCGCTCCCCATCACCTGGACCGCTCGGTGCTGGGCGGGCCACGATACGGCTCCGCTCCCCCGTACCCGCGCTCTGTCTCCCTCCCGGCCGCTGTTTCTCAGCCGCCCCATTGTCCGGACACGCAGCGGCCCCCCCGGGGCTCAGCCCGCGGCTCCCCGCTGCAGTGTTCGCCCCCCGCCGCCCCTTCTCCCGCCCCGGCCCCCTCTCGCGGCCGTCCCGTCCCGGCGGAGCCCGCGGAGCGCTCGGAGCGGAGGGCGGCGGGGATCCGGGCGGCTCTCAGTCCCTCCGCCGCCCCTGCGCCCCCCGGCCCGGCCCGGCCGCGGCCCCCCGGCGCCCTTTCCTTCCCTCTCATCTCCCCGGGGCCGCGGCGGAGGCAGAGGCGGCGGCGGCGGGGCTCGGCGCGGCTTAAGGCTTCTCCGTGCACTGTTTGCAGAGACTGGAAGAGACGCTGTTGAAGATGGCACATTTCTCCGGGCAGGAGGTGGCGGGAGGCAGCCCGGCGCTGAACGGGTACCCCGCCGCCTGCTCGTAGGCGCCGAGGGCGGGATGCAGCGCGGCCGCCGCCGCCGCCGCCGCCGCGGCGGAGCTGGGCAGGGAGGCGGCCGAGATGGCCTGGCCCTGGTTGAGATAAGCCACGAGGCGCCGCATCTCCTCCAGGGCCTGAGCCTGCATGAGGATGTAGTTCTTGGCCAGCAGCAGCGTGGCGATCTTGGAGAGCTTCCTCACCGAGGGGCTGTGCGCGTAGGGGATGACGGCCCGCAGCTCGTCCAGCGCGTCGTTCAGGTCGTGCATCCGCCGCCGCTCCCGCGCGTTGATGTTGAGGCGCAGCGCCTTCTGCTCCTTGGACTTCTTGCTGCCGCCGTGCCCGTGCCCGTTGGAGCAGCCGCCCTCGGCAGCCTTCAGCCCCCCGCCCCCCCCTCCTCCCGGGCCGCCGCCGCCGCCGCCGCCCGCCGCCGGCGAAGCGTCGCGCAGGTCCCCCCCGGCGCCGCGCAGCAGCAGCTCGCAGCGGCCGTCGCTGTCGTCGTCGGGGCTCTGCTCGCCGCCGCTGCTCTCGGCCACCGAGCTGCGGCTGGCGCTCTCGCCGTACTTGACGCAGACAGAGCCCGGCGGCAGCGCCAGCGGGTCTCCGCCGACGCCGGGCTGAAGCAGCGCCTCGGGCTCCGGCGCTTCGTAGCAGGCGAGCGGCGAGGGCTGGCGGTCGCGCGGGTGGGAGAGGTCGAGCCCCGAGGGCGAGCGGAAGGCGGACTCCATGCGCTTGGCCGAGGCGGCGAGGCTCTTGTGGAAGAGGTCCTCTTCCGCGGGCAGCCCCAGCGCCCGCTCCATCGGCGCCTCCGCCTCCTCCGCCCCCCTCAGCTCCCGGCCCGCTCCTCCAAGGCTCCTCCGCGCAGCGGCGGGCGGCTCCCCGGCGTCCCGCGGGCGAAAGGCGCCTCTCGGCTCCCGGCGGGGCTGCGCCGCGCTCGGTGGCCCCGTTCCGCTCCGGGTTCCGGCGGCGGCTGGCTGTGCTCCGGCGGCGGCTCCCGCTGCAGCTCCGGCTCCGGCTCGCCCTCAGCAGGCGCCGCGCTGGGGCATTGTGCGCTGCCAGCCGCGCCGCTTCCACCGTTTATCTTGCTTGGATTCACCTTCAAGAGATTTCCGGACCCATCAACCAGCAGCCGCCGCAGACGGGGGAGTCTTTTACATCATTATCTCGGAGAGTAGGTTATTATGGAGAAGAGTCGCCTGTTGGGACAGAGCTTTCTACCCAATCAGGTTAACGTTTTAATTAATAGGATTAAAACGGTAACAAACAATCCCAGGCGCTATCTGGCCCCGAGTCTGAATAGTTTCATTTCCCAGGTCTGCAGGCAGGCAGCAGCCCGAGCTTTATAAGCGGCGCCCGCTCCATTATTCTCGCTGCCATCTGTATACACAGCTTAACGCATATGTTTGCAAGACGTTGTGTCCTGTTAGTAACCCAACAACTGCCTTTAGCTTGACATGTGTGGCGACTTTCACTCATCAATGAGCACACTAAAAGCCCTACTTAGATCGAAGGATGTTCTTTGCCTCCTTCAGCAAATTGCAGCCCCGCGCCGCGCCGGAGCCGCCCGA